AGAACCGGGGATTTAACTCAGACATTTGCACTTGCCAGGGAAGCGCTTATTCCACTGAGCCATCTCCCCAGCCCCCTAAAAATTACTAATTTTAAAACATGAAAGGGATCTGAAAAATTATCTAGTTTAAGAGTTGGTGAAACATTTTTTTGCAAAGGGCTGGATAGTATTTTAGCTTTTGTAAGTCATGCAGTCCCTGTCACAACCAATAAACATTTTTTGTTTTTTTTGTATTTTAGGGAAGGATCTACAGGTTGTTCAGGGTCTCACTACTAGATCGTACTCATAGTGATCTGCCTGTTTACAGCCTCCCAAGAGCTGGGATTACAGGTGTACACCACTACACCAAGTCTCAATTGCTGTCTCAGTGTGCCCCCGGGGGCGAGGTCTACACGGCAGGCCTGGGGATAGAACTCCCATCCCCTGTGCCTGCTTGCAGGTACATTAATCCTCTGAGCTATTTGGCTGGCCCTATAGCCAGCAAACTATTGTTTTAACCCAGTAGTATCATAGGGAACATAGCTGTGTCCCAATATAAATGTATTTCCATAAATAGGTGGCTGTCCACATAGGCTCGTGGGCCAGAGTGACATAGTTCACTTCACTGATTTACCTGCTGAGCAAGGTAGACCCTGAGAAGGTCAATGACTAGCTTTCCTCACCCAGCTGGGAAATGGCGAGGCAAAGCTGAACACCTGTGAGTTCACTGTACCATAAAGACGTTTGGCGCAAGGGGCTCTGCTGTTTTTTTTTTGGTATCAGGTCAATTTAGACATCAGAAGTCTTCCTCCTGCAGCTACTCCTGCTGCAGACTCATTGTGAGGCCAGTGGTTCCCAATGTCTTTTATACTTTCTTAGTCAACTACTTATGAAATGAGTCATCTCAAATGACCTTGAGCAGTATAGGTGCTTGTGAAACAGTGAAGGCAAAAAATATCCAAAAGACTGAGCTTCCCCTGGGTTCTGTGGTTCGCTGGGCTGGAGCATGACACTATTCCTAAGAGGCCGAGGTAGAAGATCTGCTTCTTGAATGAACACAGAGAAAAGGGGCTGCAAGGCCACCACCCCCACCTGACTGTGCCTCTTTCACGTGTGTCCTGCACTCACATGCGATTCTAGGGCAGACGTCCAGCTGATTGGGAGCAAAGTGCTCTCCAGAATGTAGACAGGGCCAGCTCACGTTTTTCAGTGGAAAGTAATTCATTCCCCCCGCCTCCCACGGATACATTTATTATTTTCACTGTTGATTTTAGAACAAAACAGTCAACCAAATCTTTTTACATCCTATAAACATGATACTTTTAGAAAGTCTGAAAATTTGATTGAACATTTCTGATATAACTTCTTAACAGTATCTTGAAAGATTTTATGTCACAATTATCTGAACCTTGGGCCAGGGAGATAGCTCAATGGCATAAGTGCCTGTCTGGCAAGTGCAAGGTCCCAAGTTCAATCCCCAGTAGAGAGAGAAAAAAAAGCTCAGCTTTAAAAAAAAACTGAATTATTTATGTTCTATTTAATTTACGCAGCTATTTCCTATTTCATTATATATCATTATTTAATCTTGAGATGTTACATTTATTGCAATCTGCTTGGTGTTTACTCTCCGGATCTAAGGCACAATATCTACCTCTTTCAGCAGGTTACGAAAAGTGTTATTGCCTTTTGAGAAAGTGATGGAATTGAGACTTAGATTCCTGAGATTTTTGAGGCAAAGCAGTTGAACATGGGGGACAGTTTCACTGGAATCCAAATCAGTATTTTGTCTTCTTACAAATACATTTTTCAGTTCTTGGGTCTGGGTGAAACAGAGGCTCTTTTAGGTCATCTGTGTGTGTGTGTGTGTGTGTGTGTGTGTGTGTGTGTGTGTGTGTGTTAGGAGAGGGAATGGCTACAGGGATACACATGAACGGAAGCCATCTGTGGCCCTACTCAGGGGCTGCCCTTGTGTGTGGGTTCTCCTTGGCTGTCTTCTCAGTCCGCTCCCATCATCTGACTGTTCTCTTACTCACTTGTGATTGCTCAGTCTGTTCTGAACTTTCTGTCTCCAATTCAGTAGGGGACAGTTTTCTTGCTCCTGCTAATTTGCACTCAGTCCATTGGTGGATGTCTTCCTGTGAGGGTGGCTAACATGTTACTGGGAAGGTTTCTGTTGGGCCATGACCATGACCATGGCCACACAGGGGCCACTTCGCTCCTCCTGGAGCGCTTCTCCCTGAGGAGCAGGGCGCTGGTGCCTTCCTGGGCGCGACAATGTTGTTCAGGACGTGGAGGCTGGGTGTGGAGTTTAGTGAGTGCTTGAACTTTGTGTATACTTCTATTTCTATATTAAATTATAAAATTAGCCCATATTTGTATTGAAACAAGTTGTTAAATATACAGAGCTTAGAAAAGAGAATAAAAATTAATAATCTACATTCCCATTTGCTTGGTATTTTCCAGTCTTTTCTCTATTTATAGTTTCACATGAATACTGAATGCATCATATTATATTGTTTTGTTCAACACTAGAGTGTAATTTTCACTCATGAACACAATGATTCCAAAACAATTGTAATTAGATGCAATAACGTATCACTGTATAGACATGCTATGTTTGGTTAGCTAATATTGGACACAAATTTATATTATATTATATTATATTATATTATATTATATTATGCTGATAAAATTTAGCAGCGTTTTTAGATGACTTTGTTAAGACACTTTCTAGAAGTAGGATTACAGGGTCAAAGAGAGTAAGTTTTTAAAAACTTTCATTATGTATTATCAAACTTTTCCCAGAAGCAGGGTATAACTGTGCATCTTGCCATGTCTTTTAAAATGAACCTTCCTGTGGTGAAGGCTACTTTCTGATTATCCTGTGTGTTTTAATTGATTATGTGATTGTTGCTGCTGAAGAAAAGTACCCAGGAGCTGAGTCGTGCTACATGTACCCACCTGCTGGGCGATGCTCACCATTTTAGATGCTAATCTGATGAACACTGTGTCTCTTCCAGCCTTCATACACCGAATTTGATATCAGTGGCAATGTCCTCGCGCTGATCTTCAACCAAGGCATGATCTGGTAGGCCAGCTGTGGGATGGTTTATTGCTCACAAAAATGTCTCCAAGGTCATTGCTGCAGAAGGCCCTGCAGTTTCATTTTAGAGCAGACAGCAATCGGTAGTTTCTAACCCACTGTTTGCCTGAACACAGATATTATTTTTTCATCTTAAATCTTTGTTCCCCAAGATATCTCCCTGCTTTACAGAATGCTCCTTCATCGCATCATGAGAATATTTGTTCTCGTTGCCAGATCTATTTTAAGACTATTTTTTTATAGCCTTGTGACACTAAGGTCTGATAAAGAATGATAACAATACCACCTGTTAAGTGTGAAATAAGTTAGCATAAACCTTTTTAAAGAAACTGATTTTATTTTTTTGTCATTGCAGAATATATTTAAAAATACATCTGGCAGTTATTTTTGAAAATATTAGCTTACTAAGTCCAACCGTTTTGTAGAGATGAAGCACATGTTTTGGGAAGGTTGAGTTAAAATATGATCTTTATTCTGTAACTTGTTTAAATAGGACCATTTGCACAGGGGAACTTTTCTTAAAGTTTAGTTTGTATGTTGATGTGTAGAGGATTGTCACATCTATTATTAAATGGAAGCATTTTCACTGTAAACCCTGACAGGTTATGATAAGTCGATACAGTAGAAACTGTTTTTGAGTTTAAAAATTGAAACACAGCATGCAATTCGTCTGGGAGCCATGTGTCTTGGAAATCTGTCACAGTTAACTAATAACACCCCAACACACAAGCAATTGCAGTTGAGCTACTTTATTCTGTGGATATGTGCCTGTAACACTATTATTTATTCATTTGGTACAGGGTCTCACTAAGCAGCTTGGATCCTCCTGTCTCAGCCTCCCCAACACTGGGATTACAGGCATGCACCAACACACCCCATTTCAGAGGCCAGCATGGTATGCCCAGAGTTCCAGGGATGGCACAGCATGTGGTATCCAGGATCGAACCCAGGTCCTTGCACTTGCCAGGCAGGCACTTAGACCTCCAAGCTACCTCCCCAGCCTCTAAAATACTACTGTGCCACCAAGCACACCATGGTCCTACACACAAATGCCTGGATAGCTTCAGCTGTTTAGCAAGCTTCATATATTCCTCAAATCCTTCAATCATAGCTGGTCTGAATTATTAATCCCTTATGCACTGATGCTGACAGACACTGGACCTCTTTGGTTAAAACCATCTTGCTTTGCATATATAAAGACCACCCTCAGGGGCTCCATTGTCCTGCTATAGGGCCTGTAAAATTCATGAGTCTCCCTCCATCAAACAATATACAGCCTGTGAAAAGGTGATTTCCCCTGTTGTCAGACATTTAACAGTGTGTTCCTGAACCATCACATTCTAAACTTTGCAAGTATGGCTCATATGTCTCAAGAGTTGTAAAGGATTAGAAAAGACCCTTATTCTCCAAGTGAGGAGGAAAGGCAAGTCTGAGGAAACACTCCTGACAAACAGGAAAAGGAGCAGCTCCTATGGATTTTGATCTTTTACTTTCTGGAGGGAGATCTGCTGCCCAAGCTGGGAATGGCAACAGTACTAATGGGCTAATAAGAAAACTCTTGTCTTGGATCAGCGACTTTCACACAAATTGTCATGAATCCCTCAGGCCTGGTGTGTGCCAACAGACATGCATTTCATGTCTGTTGTGTTTGTTTAGAGTTGAGATAATTGATGGGCCTGGAAATTCATTTGTATTGTCAGAAAAGTTATTGCAATTGCTGCCCTCATTGCTTTTGCTTGTGATTTTACAAGAGTTCAGCCCATGGTTGTTTGTTCTGAAACTCTCAAGAATCTAAAAATCTTTCTAATTTTCTCATGGGCAGACCCATTATCAAATCTATCCACTGTCATTGTACTATAACTTGATTCTGGTCAGTTCGATAGCAGCTTCAGAAATTGATCATGTTTGTGAATATATAAAGATATTTACATACTTTCCAGGATTCCAGAATAAAATTACTTATTGTTATTCACTATTCATGGTCAGGTCAAGGCTTTGTACAAATAATCTTTCCTGAGCTCTCGGGAGATGGCTGAGGGACAGGAGATGTGGTGTGGTAGGAGGGTGTAGACTAGGGCAGAGTTAGAGAACTAAGCTCACTCTGCACCTGGCCTCTCACCTGAGTATTACACTGTTTCTCCTGTGAGGCATGAGGCTCAGATACCTGAGGTTAGCTATGTTTCACAAAAACAGTGAAAACTTATTAAAGATTTTGTATTGCAGTCTATTGTTTCATGATTTGTAAACATTCAATTATGGCTTTAGGAGTTCCGGAAGAATGAAGATTATTTATACAGATGTTATTAAAGTCAAGACTTACAGGTAAAGTCCATTTAGATATAATTTGGCTGAATGACTCATCAATCTTCATTTACAAGATTATTTTAAAAATAGAGACCCTGAACAGCTGTACAGATAATTTTAAATCATGAAAATCATAGAATACCTTGTCCCAGTAGGATGCAGAGAGGTCACAGAGAACATACAGTGATAGGAGAGAAAGCATGGATTTTGGATATTGTTCCAACACTGTCCCACAGTGTATCCTCCATTCGTGTCATCTTTCCCCTTCATTTTCTCAGTCAGTCAGATGTGAGTAATTTGACATGTACCTGTCTCCAGAGTAATACAGAGAGGCACATAAAAGCTTTCATTTGCTTTGATCTTCGTGGAAAAAAGCATTTCACAAGACTAAAATATTACATTGGCTTCTAACTGGCAGATAAGGGGGATAGGGTCTGGCTAAGGAGCTTCATGCATTGAGCTGAATAGTAAGTAAGTGACACAGATACGATGAGCATTCAGACTCAGAAGTCGTTGCGCCAGGAACTGGCTGTCTAGGTCATGGCTCTTGAATCATTTGTGCATAAAGGTTATGTGGCATTTGTGTTGAAATGTGTTTATCTTTGATCTACACGATTATGCTGTGTACAAAGGGAAATACATATATGTGTAGAGTAAGTCTAGGTTTTGAGTTATATGCAAAATTTTGCCTTAGACTCCATTAAGTTTTGTAATAATGAAACACAACCCTGAAGCCTTAGCAACATACAAAAACAACATGTCACGTGTAGGTTGGTGAAAGCTCTGATCTCACACTTCACTCACTGTAGAGATCCAGACTGATGGAACAAGACCATCTGAAACATTACTGGTCAGAGAGGGAGGGAACCAAGAGAAAAAAACCACACGGGCTTTTAAAATTTCCACAAAGAAGAGAAACATAATTTGTATTCATGTTTTGTGGGCCAAAGTGAGTCAGAAGCCCAAGGCTGACTTCTAGAATGAGGTGGCATTACCATTTACAAACCTGTTACACCACAGATACTGGCATTTGACAATACAAGCTAAGACTTTGAAATTCTGACCCTTCTGGAATTGTTGCTAATTTATCTGGCTTTTTTAAATATCAAACTTTTGTCTTGCTATTTTATAAAAGTGGTACGTTGTGTTGCTACAAATTATATCCTTCCACTAAAACAAAACAAAACAAAACAAAACAAAGAAAACAGCAGCCACAACAACAAAACCAGAATAAATTTTCCAGAATTTTCTTGTTCAATTCACTATGGCAGATATTCATATCTATTGTTTGACATTGTGTTAATAATAAAATAATCCAGATTGTGGCAAGATTCCATTTTTCAAGGGAATGAGTTAACTTTGGCTGACATAATATCAAATGTAATAAAAATTAGGGCCAGCTAGATAGTTCAGTGGACTAAAGTACCTGCTTAAGCAGGCGCAAGGACCAGGTTTCGATCCCTGGCGTGCCGTGCCGGCTCCACGCCCAGGGGCATGTTGAGACTGTGATTGAGACTGGTCATGGTGTTGCACGCCTGTAATCTCAGTTCTTGGAAGGCTGAAAACAGGAGGATCACTACAGTTCCATCTGTGTAGCGAGACCTGTAGACCCTGCACTAAATGCATAAGAAAATAACAAAAGTTGATGTCTTTTAGTAAAAACTGCTGCTATAATATGCCAAGTTTATATTGAATTAGTTAAACAACTACACAGTCACGTATTAGAAAGTATTAAAGCTAACCAGAAATGCTGAGAGATTTATTATAGTTAGGACAGTTTTTTTTTTTTTTTTTTTTTTTTTTTGGTGGAACCAGGGATTTAATTCAGGCCCTGTGCTTGCCAGGCAAGCACTTATTTTACTGAGCCTTCTCCCAGTTTTAAAGAGAAGACCCTAACTATATTTATAAAATAACTACACATGTGTCTTCTTTTAGGTTTTGGAGTAGTAAATTGCTATTCATATTGCTTTATGTTACTAATCAATTTTCTTATAAAAAATGAACTTTATTATATTGAAATAAATGCAAAGTCATCAAGTGAAATTAGTCTCATCTAACTGGCTTTAAAAGTGATGTATTACATACTGTTCAAAAGTCAGAGCCAGGGCGGTAGTACACATCTGTAATCCCAGTGCTCAAGAGATTGAGGCAGGAGGATTGCTGGGAGTTTGAGGCCAGCCTGATCTACATGAATGAGTTCAAGCCCAGCCTGCCCTACATAGTGTGACCCTGTCTCAAAAAGAAAAATGTCAGATGCACAAAGCAGTAGATTCCCAACATAAAATAAGAAAATAAATACATAAATTAAACATAGATGTGAAGGCTTTTAATCTCAAAAGCACATCAAACTAGTTATAAATTATCAAGAATGTATAACAGTGTAACATAGTTTTAACTCTACAACAATTCAATAGCTACTACAATAAGACAAAGATTAGTATCAGAAAAAGAAAAATTATTTAACATTTTTCCTCATTCATTAGAAAAAATCTAATCACTCATGAGTAAAGGGTCAATCCAAATATACTGTTTATTTGAGTAGAATGAGTGGTTTTCAGAGTCAATCATAAAAATGTTATATATTTATGTGGTAAGTATTGGAGAACTTCTTTGAGAATTAGAAGAAAGAAGTAAGACAACATGAATATACTACTTACTCTTGTGGCTTATATTTAAATGATAATCAGTAATGTTAGTTTACATATTTTCTGTCAAAAACCTATGTGCAGAATACCTACAATAATGAGGGAAATGTAAAAACGCATAGAAGAAGGAAACCAAGTGCTCACCTTTAATTCCAACAGCACTTGCTGCGCGGGCCTGTGTTCATACATTTTCTGCCTTTGCAAAGAAGCACAATGCTGTGTGCCTTCCCCAGCCAGTGAAGACCCTACACTGAGCATGGCTCTGTTTCCTTTCCAGGATGGGCTCCTTCTTTGCTCCTAGCCTCCCGGGCATCAACATTCTGCGCCTCCACACATCCATGTACTTCCAGTGCTGGGCCGTGATGTGCTGCAATGTTCCTGAGGCCAGGGTCTTCAAGGCTTCCAGATCTAATAACTTCTACCTGGGCATGCTGCTGCTCATCCTCTTCCTGTCCACCATGCCTGTCCTGTACATGATCGTGTCCCTACCACCATCTTTTGACTGTGGTCCCTTCAGGTCTCTAGTCTTAGAAATTTGACTCATGGGTAAAGGTGGAAATATCCACTCGTTGTGCAATTTATTTTCTTTCCAGTGGCAATTTGGTGGTGAGAAATGAGATCCTTGGGCTATTTTGGATCATTGTGCTATATAAAGGCAGGTTTCATTTGTTTTCTCACTTGGTAATCATAAATGGGAAATTAATTTATACTGCTCTGGGCAAAATATGGACAGGGAATCTGAACTGTCGCCATATTAGGGGATAACTAAGTAAGAAGCTTTGATTATACCAGTTCAAATGTGAGTTTTCCTGATGTTACAACCGCATAACCAGGTGTAGGCAGCTATGGATATTTCTCATGTACTGTACTACATGCAGGGGCAGGGGGAGCTTTCTCACACACTACTGGGAAGTGGAATCAGTATTCAATAGGAATGAGTATTAAGAGGATTGCAGAATTTAGTATACAAAGTGCTATGTCCTGGCAAAAGGAAAATATGTTTCTTCTGTATATTTATACCAAATGTCCTCAGGCCAGCAATCAAGAGTCAAGATAACTCTGATGTGAGTTAAAGTTGTGTCTTTTTACCTTTCCCTGTGACAGAATGCTCTTTTTCATTTATTTTATTTTATTTATTATTATTTTTTATTCATTTTAATGAGAAAAAAAAGATAAAATAGCAATGAAACAGTTTCAAAACAGGTTAGTAGGGCAGTTACAATAATTAATACATTGCATATTGTTGTTTACACAGTAGCTATTCAGAGGACAAGATGCAGACATATTTTGTCTAGAAAATAGCAGTGCAAACCTTTCTTCTCAATGAACTAAAAGAAAGCAGCTGTGTATCTATCCTAACAGAGCGCCCCTTTGACACATCAAAAAGCAAAGTCACTTGAGTCTGGAAGGTCGAGTTTCCTTTCTTGAAAGCTCTTAGAAGTTAACCTCTTATCCACCCACCCCAAGACTCTGGCTATTGATTTGCTGCCCAGTGTGAATGTGAGAGAAGGAAATGACCATGTGAGCAGCCGGCGGAAGGACAAGCACGAAGCTAGCACGGTCACGTGCAATTTCACCTTCGTGCTGTCAGATCCAAGTTGTTTAACGTCAAAATGTTTGTTTAAAAAAGTTTATTGTTCTAAGTATAAAAGAGAGTTTTTTTCATTCTAATGAGAGACTTAGTTACTGTTTTAGTAGAAAAGAAAGAAAATACTGAGCCAGATCAAAATTGATTTTTGTCAGACTCAGGAAACCGATGCTGACAAGCCCTCTTCCCATATGCGTGCTCGTGTGTGTGTGTGTGTGTGTGTGTGTGTGTGTGTGTATGTGTGTGTGATGTGTGTGTTGTGTGCATGTGTGCACATTTCCAAGTAGGCTGAAATAAATAACGCAGACAGTGACATCTGGAGACTAAATATGAAATTACAGTCTTGAAGGAGACATTTCCTTCATTGCTAATCTCAGTCTACAGATTTCAGGGTGTAGGCCATTTGGGTCTTCAATTACTTACAAATTGTTCTCCAGGATAAATGTTAAGGGTGTCTTTGATGTCTGCATTGGAAGTTGGTCCTTCTCAGGAAAAGACAAAAAGAACCTTACCAGTCTGACAGAAAAGCTGCTTGCTGGAAACATGGAGATGCATGGCTACACAGTGCATTCAGCCCCAAAATGTCACTCAGTTAGACACGTGTGACAGTTGCAAATTCTGAGCTGTCCAAGCTCTCCCGCCTTCAGTTTCCCCATGTCATAACTGAGTTTCTTGGATTTTTACTGAAAAAAAAATTGCAACTAAGGCATGTCTTCAGACCTTGACCAAGAGTTTCCAAATTGGCAAACTTGGGCAAAATTACTACATGCAAGTCACTCTTGTGATCAAGGGATTTCAGTATTTTGGAAGGAGCAGTGGCCAAGGGCCATGTCTGTGCTAGCTACTCAGACAGTGGCTCGGCCAGCCTCGGGAATCTGAGCTTGCCTGCCCTTCCCTAGGGTGAGCAGCAGACTTGGCTCTGAAGCAGGTGAATGGGGACGCTTCAGGGGTGACTAGGCAGTCTCAAGGGAAGGTGTGTCTTCAGGTAATGTAAGGTGGCTCATTTGCCCATTCAGCAAAGCCATTTGATGAGGTGCTTTAGTATTTTCTGGTTTTATAAGATGCAGCTGGTCTGGATGAATTTTCTAGAAAATTCTCCCTCCCAATAGCTAGTACATGAACTTACTTTACATCTTGGAACCTTCAAAAACAATTTTGTTGATATTTAGAGAAAGATCATTCTTTTTACAGTTCTATCATATTTCCTGAAACTTGATGCCTCCTCTGTGTGCCAATAATTCTATTCAGAGTGCAGTTCCCACATGCCCCTTTATTATATGTAACAATTTCATTCTAAATGTATTTTTCATTTAACACATTTCAGTTCATAATGGTATGTGTTTGTCTTGGAACAAACACATACCATTATGTGGAATTTTTGAAATATTTTAATGTTAAGGCAATGCCACCTCTCACCTCAGCCACAGGAAATATGATGATTCTAAACATTTTGCCATTACATATTTTCCTTTAAGTGGGATTTTTTAAATGAGAAGAACATGAACAGTTTATATTTGGAGTCACTCTTTGTTGAAAAAGAGTATTAGTT